CAGATTATGCTTAAATGATGACTTTTCTTTGTGATTGTACTAGAAATAATCTGTAATTTAACAAAAAAGGAAAATTAAAAACAGTAAATTCTTCCAAAACAAATTTGTGTGTTTTAAAAACTTTATTTTTCAGAGCATATACATGGCAATTTCAAACATAAACAAAATTAGATTTCTTTATATTATTGGCAACAGTAACTGATATGTGTTTGTACCTTTCAAAGCAACATTTGTGGCCAAAATGCCCTCAAGTTGCTTCAGTTTATCATTTTGAATAGAAAACGAAATAAAAAGTTCACAAGGCACCATCCTCATTGAAGCAAGTAAAGGGAATAACTGGAGCTCTCATAAAACGTGTTTAGAGCTGAAAGTAGCAGGTGATGCAGTATTACATCATCACCTAAGCATGTGAATCTTATCTGATGCAATTTGCTAGAAATATTGACATTTACTTTGGCTATTTGGACAACAGCTGCAGTTTTAAAGGCTGATGCAATTTCTTTGATAAATAGTGAATGTATTAGTTTTACTGAAGTGGTATGTTATGGCCTGTGGCCAAAAGGTGTGTGTGAGGTAGGTGAGGGTATCCGGGGCAGGTGCGCTGGTCGCCGCGGCGAGGGGGGATCTCCTGTGTGGCAATCTTCACGTGCCGGTGCTCGTGTGGCGTTTTTCCCGTGCAGGTGCTCGTGCAATGATCTTCCCATGCTGGTGCTCGAGCCAAGAGGAGATCCAAGCTCCTGAATCCGCGGAGGTGAACAAAGGCTGGCGTAGCGGGCTGGAGAACAAAGAAACACACGGTTACTTGTGAACTCAAAAATACTAGCGAGACAACACATGTACTCAAGCTAGCGGCCGAATGTACCACTCGTGGAGCTGTCAATCGTCTGGCACTGGAGCACAGATGGAACGGCGGCTTTATCCAGCGTGTAACGAAGGTGATGAGCTGCAGCTGTGTCAGTGCAGGAGCGTCCTCCTCCAATCAGCCCCGTCCAGCCTGAGAACACAGAAGCACACACTCCAGCTGCATCCAAACACATCAACAACCAAGAAACAATGTGAAAACACAACACAATCACCACATGGTGAGTATTAAACTTGTAGACTAGTTCACACATTATTAAATGGACTGTAGTGCTACAGCATCCAAATCACATAAAATAAAGGTAAAACGAAAGTGCTACAAAATAGAAAATAGGATGAAATAAAGTTTAGGAATAGCTCAGGGCCGTAACCTCTGACTATTACATGCACTGAATACATCCATAGCACCCAGTATAGTGCACATCAGTGGTGCAAAACAGTCAATTAGTTTAAAAAAAATAAAATAAAATTTGTATTTTGCTTGCACCATCAATACACATAGACAATAATGGGTGCAATAATGGCCCTTCATTAGAATACGAATGGGGATCTTGTATTCTAATGCTATAGGTTAACCATTAGGCCATCTGGCTGTTTTTCCTTGATATGATCCCATCCATCCATCCATCCATCCATCCATCTATAGTTTATACACCGCTTAATCCTTACTAGGGTCGCAGGGGGGCTGGAGCCTATCCCAGCCGACTTAGGGCGAAGGCAGGGGACAACCTGGACAGGTCACCAGTCTATCACAGGGCTACACTTAGAGACAGACAACCAAGCACACTCACACCTACGGACAATGTAGAATCACCGACCTCAACATGTTTTTTAACTGTGTGGGAAGAAACCAGAGAGAACCCACGCTGCACGGGGAGAACATGGAAACTCCACGCAGAAAGATCCCGGATGTCCTCACCAGGACACGAACTGGTGACCTTCTTGCTGCAAGGCAATGGTGCTAACCACCTTTCAAAACATATTTTCAAACATATAAAAAAACTTTGCTTTAAATAGTAGTTAGTGTCTGGTTTTGTTATTTAGATTTTTTCCACAAAAAAAGTTCCATTTCCACAGTTACAATGTATCAAAAATCCATAATTTATGGATTTGCATAAAGTTTTTAGTTCAGACAGTTCAACTTCTAAACAACAGATGTCTCCTTTTTACTGTAAAATCAGTGAAATTTAGACATACAGGAATGTAACTTTGTGAAGACAGGCCTCAAAATTTACATTAAATACTGCTCTTAAATACATGTTTTACACTGACAACTCTCCCTTTAGTACAGGGGTTCTCAACTGGTCTCACCCTGGGACCCACATTTTCCCATGGTCATTAAGTCGCGACCCAATTTTTTTTAGAATTCAATATTCAATATATTTTCCTGTGCAACATGCATTTCAGAGCATATAACCATGCACAGTAACTGGACCATGACAACTGCATGCACAAAACTGCCCAAAATAAAAAAGGCCACAAGACAACATATTTTCACTCCATTTTGAGCAAATTAATAAGAAACTAAGGCGGACCGTGACAGCTGCATGTACAAAAGTGAATAAAATAAATATCAAAACTACTTGAGAATAAAGTTTTGGCCTAATCAGGTCATTTGCTGAAGTCAATGAGACAGCTGGGCACGTGCTCTACTCCTTGATTAGAGTTTCAGAGTCTGGGGTGACAGTAGACAGAGCTGCACTCAGATCATGCTCAGTGTCCAACCTGTTTCTCTGCTGTGATCTGAGCTGGACCAAGGTAGAGAAGTCACTGTCACACCAACAGGTTGAGCTGAATGGTAAGATTGTTTTAACTGCAGGAGTGTTGAGAGACGGACACTCAGCCATCACATCGCTGCACCAGAAGTGGGAAAGGCTGACCTCCCCACATCCCTTTCTCAGCGTCTGATCACATGACAGCTCCAGCAGCTGATGCTCTCGTGCAGCCACATTTAGTTGTCAAACAGTTCTGCATACACGGAGTTAGTCTCAGAGAGGGATGTGGCTATTTCTGATTTAAGTTCGTAAAAGCGTGACAACATCTTGCCCCTCGACAGCCAGCGGACTTCTGGGTGCGCGCAGGCTCTAACGGGCTGGCGGCGGCGGCAGGGGGGGAGGAGGAATATTTGGAGATCAAAATTGATATCCCGATTCCAGCACAGCGAACGAATAGTTGGCTATTAGGCTATTCAGGTCCAGCCCTAGTATGAAAATCCACATTTTCAATACTCTGGGTCATATTTGCGCTTTGCCATCTTGCCTCCCAACATCAACACAAATTTAAAATGAACGTCAAACAAACTATGGTTACCATGCCTGTCAAAATAAAAGTTTATTCAAAATAAAAAAGTCCAGCCTGAGACGCACATTATATATTATTTAATTTTGACCAGCTGTCCGCGTCCCACCCAGAACAGGTCCGCGACCCACCAGTTGGGAACCCCTGCTTTAGTACGTCGCTGAAGGTATTCTACACAGGGAAACTGTGTGTGTGTTTGTTGTAAGTTATTGTCTAATCCACTTGCAGTATTTTTTTTATTTTTTTTTACACACGAAAGCTCTTTAGCATAGTTTATTGTACATTCCTCTGCACTGAAGTACTGCGGTGGCTACTGCTTGAGTTGTGTTGGGGATATTCTGCCACAGTGTGGATGGACGTAGTAAGTGCAATTAGCTCGCAGAAAGTTCTTAGCTTTGGAACATGATCTGAAAATACAGTGCTTAAATAAATTTGTGCATAAATTTCCAAAAGGTATCTAAATATTAGAAGTGTTTAGATAATTTACTTAAATAAAAGTACCAATACAGCAATGTAAAAATACTCCACTACAAGTAAGAGTCCTGCATAAGTATTAACAGCAAAATGTAGTTAAAGTAATAACATAAAAGTACTGCTCTGGTCCCTCTGATTGTTATATGATTTAAATATTTATTGAAACTAAACCATGCAGGGGAGAAAAAAAATCCCTGTTTGGTGGAGCTGTTCGCTGTTCTAATATGTCAGATTCAGCAACAACAGTTAGAAACCATTGGCTCAATCTTACAACATGTTTTATTTGTTATTTTTGTATATTATCACATGTTTAAGCGCTATGAGATGACTTGTTGTTGTAAATATGCGCTATACAAATAAAATTGAATTGAATTGAATTGTGTAAAATCTCTATCTTATAAAAGACATACATATCTTTTAAAAGGTCATAAAATAATAAGCACTTCATTTTTTCCCTAAGAAAAGTGCATATTACAGTACAGTTATCAATTATTATATCATAAACTATATGTTTTTCAAAAAATATAAATTATCATTATTGTATTTTTTAAAAAATGATGAAACAATACATAAAATATATGTACTTTTATTTTGTTATTTTATCAAAATGAGATGAGAAAATAAATAAATAAACAAACAAATAAATACAAATATAGAAATAAAAAAATTCTAAATGTAATTATATGTTGTAATCTTTTAAATAGGACAACAACGCTCCTATGAACTTAAAATAATAGTTTGGTCTTTTATGTTGAAGGAGGTGACGGTGGTCATGTGACCACCCACTTCGGTCATATGACTTACTCATCGACTCTTTCGGTTCTCAATGATGTGGGCGAGCTGAGGGCAGCAGTTTGTTGGTATTTCTCAGCTAGTTGTTGTGTTTGCTGACTTGTTTCTCCTCGGCCGTTATCGTGAATGTGTCAGAGTGAAGCTGAAGGTTTCTAACATGGAGGCGGAGAAGCTGCTGCTGCTCGCCGGTCTGTGCTTCCTGCTGTTCGCGGTGACTCCCGGCGTTTCCTCAGCGCAGGTACACAGCTCCGTCTTCAGCTGACGAATGTCTCGTTATTACAGCGTCCTGAAGCTCTGCGAGGTGTTCCCGAGGAGCTGGTAGTGGTTTAGTTGAATCTCGTACTTTAATTTAACTTTAAAAAGTTTTTTTTTTATTTTATTTTTTTTTTTAGCTTGTGTAGCTTATTTTGTCCAGCTCTTAGCAAGTTTCCATTTAGCTTTTGCAGTGTTTTGATTGAGATTTGGTAATAATCTATAGATTAGTTTGATGAATTGACATTAAAACAAATCACCTGACTGTGCAGTCTGGCCTCTGATGATACTATTCTGGATTTAACTGCTTTTGCCTACAGATAGTGGCACTGTTTAACTTTTCCATAAACTCATTTATACAGTNCCTCTGGAGGTTTTCCGAACTCGTCCACCTGAGGAGCCGCTGGAGAGATTATATCTCTCGGCTGGCCTGGGAATGCCTCGGGATTCCCCCAGGCAGAGCTGGAAAGCGTCGCCGAGGGGAGGGAGGTCTGGGACGACCTGCTCCGCCTGCTGCCCCCGCGACCCGACCCCGGATAAGCGGAAAAAAATGGATGGGTGGATGGATGGGGCAGGGGAGCCAAATGTGTGGAGGTTAAATGTCCCTTGTCTGATGATTGGTAATTTCAGTGCCTTCGCCACATTGTCATGCACAAAGCTTCCCTGACTTCCTACATCCAGTAAGCAGCGGACTATCTTCCCACCTGCAGGTCCTGCTACCCATGCCTTGACGGTTTGTAGCAACACAGTGTTCTCGTTGTCTGGTTTCACCTTCTCCAATTGAGGAATCAGAGAAGAAATGACAATGTATGCTTTTTCAGAGAGTGTAGATAGGTGCGTTGTATTTGTCTCACAGATACTCGTGTGATGGCGTCCTCCATGTGTTGTACATGGCACGCTCTTTGTCCTGCAGAATCTTGCAATGTGCTTAGGTCCTAAACATACAAAGAATCTGCCTAGCCTTTTTAGCTTCTCTTTACGGGTTGCAACTTCGTAGTCTGGACAATCTTCAGATCGATGTTCAGCACTATCACAGAAAACACAGCCTTGAGTCTTCTGGCTGGCTGTGTGTAGTGCAGCTGCCGATGACATGCTTGGCTTCTTTAATTTCATATCACTGATGGAATATGATTTGGTACCTGGCTTGTGGGCAAGCTGACTTTCTCTCTTACTGTAAGATCTCATCATTTGCAAGGCTCTTTCTTGACTCTGAACCTCAGTTTTCAGAAACTTTAGCACATCAGGCACCTTCCATTCATTACTTTCTCCTCTCTGGCGACTGTAATCCAGAGCCATGTCTTCTGGCATCATCTGCAGCAGTATTAGGCATAACATGCCTCCATAAGAGTCTGAAACCACTCATTTACAGTTTTGGCCTGTTTTTTTTCCACAGATTATGCTTAAATGATGACTTTTCTTTGTGATTGTACTAGAAATAATCTGTAATTTAACAAAAAAGGAAAATTAAAAACAGTAAATTCTTCCAAAACAAATTTGTGTGTTTTAAAAACTTTATTTTTCAGAGCATATACATGGCAATTTCAAACATAAACAAAATTAGATTTCTTTATATTATTGGCAACAGTAACTGATATGTGTTTGTACCTTTCAAAGCAACATTTGTGGCCAAAATGCCCTCAAGTTGCTTCAGTTTATCATTTTGAATAGAAAACGAAATAAAAAGTTCACAAGGCACCATCCTCATTGAAGCAAGTAAAGGGAATAACTGGAGCTCTCATAAAACGTGTTTAGAGCTGAAAGTAGCAGGTGATGCAGTATTACATCATCACCTAAGCATGTGAATCTTATCTGATGCAATTTGCTAGAAATATTGACATTTACTTTGGCTATTTGGACAACAGCTGCAGTTTTAAAGGCTGATGCAATTTCTTTGATAAATAGTGAATGTATTAGTTTTACTGAAGTGGTATGTTATGGCCTGTGGCCAAAAGGTGTGTGTGAGGTAGGTGAGGGTATCCGGGGCAGGTGCGCTGGTCGCCGCGGCGAGGGGGGATCTCCTGTGTGGCAATCTTCACGTGCCGGTGCTCGTGTGGCGTTTTTCCCGTGCAGGTGCTCGTGCAATGATCTTCCCATGCTGGTGCTCGAGCCAAGAGGAGATCCAAGCTCCTGAATCCGCGGAGGTGAACAAAGGCTGGCGTAGCGGGCTGGAGAACAAAGAAACACACGGTTACTTGTGAACTCAAAAATACTAGCGAGACAACACATGTACTCAAGCTAGCGGCCGAATGTACCACTC